TACATTTTTTTTTACAAACTTTGAAGTATAGGGACAGGGTCCCAAGAGTTAGGCCAATTCTCAGAGTCAAGGTTAAGAAGTACTTTGGCCTACATTCCTCCCTCTAGGGAGGAAGTTTACTTATAATGAGGAGTGGGGTTTTTTTTTTTTTTTGCTATGAAAGTTTAGCAACTTACATATTCTAGTCATAAAGAAGTTTTCAGAGAAGTAAATGCTAAGTATGGTATGACTGCAAGTGCTACAAATATTTTGCAGTTCTTATTATTAGGTAGGATTTATTATCCCATTTTGAATTTCATCTGGCCTGTGATTTACACTGACCATTGGAATACAATGGGTATGATACTGTTCAAGTTTTGATCCTAACCTAAATGCCTTGCATCTTCCATTCTGGTTTCTTGGAAGGTCATTGCCATGTAAACAACCCGGACTAGCTTATTTGAGAATGAAAGACTACTTGTATAGACAGAAGTCTAGCTGCCCATCCAGGGAAGTGGGGTCCAAGACATGAAAATGAGCCTAGGTAACATCATGTGGAATAAGGATGACCTGGCCCAAATGAGTCCAGACTAAACTGCCAACTCACAGAATTGTTAAGTATTATTTCATATAGCCAAAACCCAAACTGGAAATAATATGAAAGTCTAAAATAGACTTTAATTATAGTATTGAAAGGCTCGTAGCATTACTGGTTAAGAGTATAAGCTCCAGAGTCAGACTGTCTGTATGTGAACACTGGCACTACCCTTTATGAGCTTGTGACCTTGGGCAAAAGAGAATATAATGTTATATGATTGTTCTGTGAAAAAATAAATTAATTATATGTACCTAAGACATAGTAAATATCCAAATTATTATGAATAAGCTATTAAAATCATGTTATAGAAAATTCTGCAGCACTGGGAAAGGACTATGCTATTTTTAGGTGGAAAAAACATAATACAAAGCCATATATACAATGATAAATCTTAAATTACAAAATGTTACTCCATATGTAAATATAGGAATAGAATAGCATTATTCGCCCAGTTACTACTGTTAAGTTCTTTAGAAAAAACATATTTTCTTTGTTGCTTTTTTGTACTTGCAAAATTTTCTACAGTAAATAAGCATTAGGTCTGTAATCAGGAAAAATGTTATTTCCATAAATTAAAGTGTTGTTATCTGTAGATTAGCTAATTGTTTTCTTAATCCTTAAGAGCATTAAGGAAAACTTTTACTAGAAATAAGAATAATGTTTGTGTGGCTGGGGTCGTAGCTCAGTGGTAGAGCACTAGCCTACTACTAATGCAAGAATAAATGGTAAAAATTACCTTTTAAACTTGCTTTGTTTATTCTTAAATAGATTATGTAAATGCAGACAAGTATTTTTTATTGATATTCTCCATGAGAAACCTAGTATTATAGAAGAGCAAGTAAATAAAATACTATGCTGAGGACTAATACACAGAGATTTATAATAAATAATTTCTTCCTTCTGAATTAGTAAGCTCATCAATTATTTTATAAATATTCTAAGGTTCCACAATAACATTCCACAATTATTTTATAGTATTTTTGGGTTTGTTCCTCAGCACCACATAAAAATAAAAATAAATAAAATAAAGGTATTATGTCCATCTACAACTGAAAAAAAAGAGAGTAATATTTAATCAAGTGGAGAGGATATACAGAGAATCAGAGAGGACATTGTACTAACCTGAACAACTTAAATACTACAAAGAAAAATTAAGCCTGTCACTTTGGTTCTAAAATGCCTCCAGGCTTACTCCTATTTGTCAGCTTAGAATACTGTCTTCTATTCCTATCTTCTTGTTTTTCATTAAACTAGTACCTATTTATTTCAGTTTAAATGTCACTCACAGGTCTTCCTTAATTTCTCCAAACTCAAATATATTTGAGTTTCCAAGTCCCACTTAGGTTCCCTTTGTAATTCTCTTAAAATACCCACTTCTTTCCTCCTCATGAATTACTCCTTATAACTGAACTTTTCTTTGTCCTTGGCATCCTACATGACTACAAAGAAAAAGTGGTGGAGACAGAGAGCTTCAAGTTAAATCTTCCCTTTCTACCTTTAAAATATGAAAAGATGTGGAAAGGGAGGTTATGAATACATATGTAGAAAACTTTCTCTCTTAAAAGTAAAAAGGTGAGCAGTCATCAGCTCTCAAATACATATGATTAAAAAAATTTAGAGAATAACTTTAAAGAATATTCTGGTTGCCTTAGAATATTTATAAAATAATTGACAAACTTACTATAATTCAGAAGGAAAAAAATATTATGATATATCTCTGCATATTAGTTCTCAGCATAGAATATTATTTATTTGCTTTTCTATAATATTAGGTTTCTCATGGAGAATATTGATTAAAAAAACTTGTCTGCATTTACATAATCTATTTAAGAGTAAACTCAGCAGATTTAAATGGTAATTTTCACCATTTATTATTGCATCAGTAGTATTTTAGTCACTTAAGATACAACTTAAAATACACAGGTCAAATTGTTGTTGAAAACTGATGTACATCAATACTGATTTTTCCTATAACTGTGCTGTGAGAATAACAACAAATTATGCTTATATTTGTAATATTCCAAAATAACCGATATGTATATTATTTTACTATAAAATATTTAGCATTTTTCAATTAATTTGAGAATGGATTAAGTTCCTACTTGGAGCAAACAGTACCAAACAGAGTTAATAAGTCCCCCAATATTACCTTGAAAATAAGGTTACTCTTTTCTGTGTGTGTGAGGTTGGAGACAGAACACAGGGTTTTTCATGAACACTATGCAAGTGCTTTACACTAAGCCTTATCCCAACTCTTTCAAAATTTTTATTTATTTTAAAACATGTATACCTTTGTATGTTTTTATCTTGTGCCACATGATATTCTGAAGTACATATAAATTGCAGAATTATTAGATTTAGCTAATTAATAAATGTATCACTTCATGTAGCTATAATTTTTATGGTGAGAGCATATGATATCTACTTTCTTTACATTGTTAAAAATACAAGATATAATCACTAACTATTGTCACTTTTCTGTACAAAAGATCTCTTGAAATTTATTCCTCCTATGTAACTATAATTACATATACTAAGCCAATGTCTGCTCCCTGTAGCATTAGCTACCCAGCCTTTGGTAAGTACCATTACACTTTTTACTTTTATGAGATATATCAACTTTTTTAGATTCCACTAAAGAGTGAGATCATGCATTAATTGTCTTTCTGTGCCTAACTTATTTCACTTAACATAGTACTCTGCATGTTCATTCATGTTGTTGTAAATGACAGGATTTCATTATTTTTAATGGCCAAATAGTATTCCATTATATCTTTCCTCTATCTATCTACCTATGATTCTATCTTATTTATTCATCTGTTGATACTTACTTTGATTCCTTGTCTTAGCTATTGTGAATAGTGCTGCAATAAATATGGAAGTGCAGAGGCCTCTTCAACATACTAATTTTATTTCCTTTGGATACATTACCAGTAGTAGCACTACTGGTTCTTATGGAAGTTTCTATTTCTAGTTTTCTGAGGAACCTCCATACTTGGTTTCCAAAATGATTGTACTAACTTTAGCAACAGTATGTGAGTTTCTCTTCTCTATGACTGCACCAGCACTTGTGACTTTTTTTTGTTTTGTTTTTGGATAATCGACACCCTTAACTGGAGTGAGATGATGTCTCTGTTATTTTAATTTGCATTTCCCTGATGAATAGTGATGTTTAACATCTTTTCACATATTTGTTGGCCATTTGTATGTCTTTCCAGATCTGTTGGGTTATTTGTTTTTCTTTTTTCTCCCACTGAGTCAAGTCTATATACATTTTTAATATTAACCCCTTGTCAAATGTATAGTTTACGAATATTTTCTTCCTTTCTGTAGGTGTCTTTTCACTCTGTTGCTTACTTTGCTATGTAGAAGCTTCTTAGATTAACTCAGAGCATTGTTCTTTTTTGCTTTTGCTGACTGTGCTTTTAAGATCTTAAAAAAAAATCCTTGCCCTGGTCAATTTATAAAGCATTTCCCTTATGTTTTCTTTTATTATTTCATAGTTTCAAGTCTTAAATCCATTTTGAGTGAAAATCAGGTTATATATTCTCTCTCTCTCTGTATGGTGGGATTGAGCCCAGGTACTTTACCTACTCTTTTTATTTTGAGACAGATACTTGCTAATGCCAAGGCTGACCTTGAACTTGGGATTATTCTGCATCATCCTTCTGAATAGCTAGGATTACAGGCATATGCCGTCATGCCCAACTAGGTCATTCTTAAAGTGAAAATGACATTACTCACCCATTGAAGAAACTCATCCAAAAACATTGTCTCTGAATATATATAAGTATCTAGGAATACTCAAGTCCAATCAATGTCTCCAAAACAACTAAATGTAAAAGATAACTATAGTCTAAATAAAATGTCTGATAAGTTCTCTCAAGAAACAAGATGAGGAAGATAGTTTCTGTGTGGCTTTTAGAAAGGGGGGAGGCCCACAGAGCTCACAAGCTCCATGAAATAAATGATTTTTTTATTGTTTTTTTGTAGCTCACACATCAGGAACAAAACCAGTAGGCAGTAATACCCACAGATGTTTAACAGCATCATATGTAGTGCTGCATAGGGACTTCATTTAGCATGTAACTGACAGCTTGCTGGAATGCTGAGAATGGCAGGAAAAATGCAGCAGTGAAAAAAAAACTGATAAATACAGATACAAGAGCTAGGGAATTTCACCCCGACAAAATTAAGCATAGAATATTTTAGAGATGATATATTAAAAAAAGCAAAACCAGTAAAAATAAAATTTCTAATTTAACAAATAATTAAGCAAAATATAAGATCAGTTATAAAAAGAATGCTGGGCTAAATTCCACATAATGAAGTGCTTTCCTTTTACTTGGTTCGTAAATAATATAATTAATTGACAATAGTTATATCAAAAGATTCACATGAAAATTTGCATTTCCTGCTTTACCTGAGAAACTGGACAATGTGGTAACACTAGGTCAACATTCCTGCCTTGCAACAATTATCTGGAACGGAGCAGTGGCTGCTCCTCCAGAAAGGACTTGGCTCTCCAGTTCAGTGCAGTGGCTTCCTGCTTCATTCCCATCAGTCTGGCCTCTGTAGGCATTTGGGTTTCCAACCTCTGGAATAGAAAGGACCTTGAGATAAGGGTTGAAGGACTCAATGTAGCTCTTGACGAGAGGTAAAACTCATTTTTACTGATCATTTAGCCTACAGCTCAGTTTCTTTTGTAAATGAATACTTGGTAGATTATCATGCATTATTAGTACATATAAAAACACCAGTAAGCCAGCTAAAACCATAAGTATCCAGACAACTTTCCTAGTAAAAGTGAGTTTTCCCCAAGACTGGTGATTCTTGAGTTAGAGGATATAAATAATATGAGACCTTCGATTTCACTTTAGTCCTCTACCTTTCTTTCTTAGCACCATTGTTGACAATATCACATTACCATTATCTTAGGAACTAATCTTGAGATCAAAGAATTTTGGAACCAAACTATATAATTTATTCTTAATAAGATGTATAAAATGCCACTGATTACCTCTCCTACTCACCACTCCCAGAATTTACAACATTGTTTTCTTTTAGCAATTAAGAACATTTTTCATAAGGTCTTTCAAAGGTGTACTTGAGACCTCATAACTGCTTGCTTTATTTTCTTCTAGCCTTCAGGGAGACATTGATAAACTATGCTGTTTGACAAGTCTTCTGCAGCCTGGGTAAAATAATCTTTATAATCATTTAACTTATTTTTCTGTTTCCATAGCTACTGAACAATCACCTATGTGATAGATTTCATAGGCACTGTGATATAATTTAGTTAACAACCTGGATAGCAGGTACAAGTATTAGTCACTAAAAACAAACATATATAATAAATAGGTCACCTGGTATAGAAATTAATTTTTAAAAAAGCTTTTGTAAATATAGATGGTCTTTGTTAGACCCCAGAAGCCCACTACTCTTGAGAGTAAATAGCAAAATCAAGTTTTTAACTTGGAAGAGTTTAGGATCAAAACCTGTACCACAGTTACTCCACAGGGTGCCTACCACCTTTGAGATTTTCCCTGAGGGCCAGACTCCCGTTTGTTTGTTTGTTTGTTTGTTTGTTTTAGTTTTTAGTGTGTTTGTTTGCTTTAGGGCCACCTTCCTCTGATAACATCATCACCCAGGTCAAGGTAATGTGTAGAATGGGATGTGGGAATATGATTAGACAGTGCTGTTCCTTAGAAAGCAGCCAGGAGAGGCAAAGAAGCAAATTAAGGGTCGTGCAGCCAGGCTAAATGACCATGTTTCTATAATCCTGATATAAAAAAGTGCTCCGGGTTGGGGCTGGGGGGTTGGGGATATAGCTCAGTTGGTAGAGTTCTTGCCTCACATGCACAAGGCCCTGGGTTCAATCCCCAGCACACACACACACACACACACACACACACACACACACACTCCAAACAAAACAATAACAAAATAAACAACAAAAATAAAACCCAAAAAAACCCAAACCCAACCCCCTCCCCCCAAAAAAACCAACCCCCCCCCAAAAAAACCCCAAATCACTGACCTGTGAAGTGAAAGGTATTCCGGAATTATATTTAATGTCTTACATGTTTATCTATATGTGAAGCACCAAGATAAACATGGGCAACTCAAACATGAAGCCAACACGGTCCCCATCTCAAGCAGACAACTGCCTGACAGTGAGAGTGGAGAGTGCAGCAGTCAGGTAATATCAAATGATCCCGGCTATGGTACAGGTTAAGCATGGAATACTAAATGAGCACAGTTAATCTGGTTCTCATGGATGGGGGATACAGTAAGGAAAGAGTATATCTAGGGATGCACAGAGGTTAAATAGACAAAGAAAGGTTAGTAGGAGACCTGAAACTTCACCTAATCTATGCAAACAATCTCTCTTCTGAAAGACTAATATTATGAATTTTACATTTCTGTCTGTTAACAACACTTCCAATATCGTACTCATTTTTAGTTGGTAAGCAAACATAAATATCTTATCTTTTTAGACTTTTTAACCTTGAGATGTGATAAGTGATGAGGCATTAATTAATGAATATTTTCCATAGGAAGATGTGGATGTCTGCTGTATGCCTGAAATAAAAAATGATGTCCTAATATCTATAGAAGCAAATATTGTCATTAAGAAAAAATAATATCAAAGAATGACTGGTTAATTTTGGTGAGAAAGGAATATCAGATTTGAGTGTATATTGGAGACAAAAGCCAAAAGGAGCAATACATGGGTAAAGGGAATATTAGATGAAGTAGTTTAAACTACTGGAAAGTACATGATTTAACAGAAGTCTGTAAATGATGAAAAGAAGACTGTGGTGCTGAAGGTATTTTAGCCAAATATGTAGATGATAATCATGTTACCATCTCCTAGGAACTGCACTGAGCACTCTATACATACATATGTTAACTTATTTAATCTTTACTACAACAGTATATGATAGGAAACTTTATTTTTTCTGTTCTAGTGTTGAGGAAATTAAGGCAAGACAAAATAAAGTAACTACTTTCTCTTTCTAGGCCTGATAATTTATATTACTCTTACATACATATTTTTTTTCTCCTTAGCATTTATCGCTATGTAGTATGGATAGAGTAGTCAATATAACAACAACAACAAACAAACAAAAAACAACAACAAAAACTCCTTGTATTTCTTGACCTGAGTTCAATAGCTCTTTGAAAGGCTGGTTTTGAATCACAAGTTTTTTCTTCCCATGGCACATAGAACCTCATGTATGTTGGAGTCAAATACATTTGTTGAGTGGATAAAGAGCACAGCTAATCAATAAGTATATACTGAGCCTGACTCAGCTAGTCACCATAATACAGAAAATTACAAAATGAAGTGCTTGTCTAAAAGAACTTACACTAAGGAATAGAAATAAGGTAGAAGCATAACGATTACCTAAGACATAAAATAAGAAGTTCTCACTTTAATTACTCCGATTCTTCAACTAGTTGCTTATGCCTAGAAATTCTCACACATCACTCCTCCCAAGAACACATAGCATCCTGCTGCACTAAACTTTAAGCTTTCTTGGAAATGTCTGTGCTGCTCACAAGGCTATGCTTATGCATGTATTATTCCCTGAGCATACAAAGATTTTTTTCACTTTCTCAGAACAACTTTTTTTTTAAACTTAATTTCATTTTTTTAAAAAATAAATGACAGTGGAATTCATTACAATTCTTATTGAACATATACAGCACATTTTTCATATCTCTGGTTGTGTATAAAGTATATTGACACCAATTTGTGTCTTCATATATGTACTTTGGATAATGAACCTTTTGTTCTGCTGAGTTACTCATACATTTGTCTTTCAGCCTACAGCACTGCTTACACTTGCCATACTCCATTTTAATGTACACACATTCCTTGTTTCATTTGTGTTTTTGGTTACTAAACATATTATTAGGTATATGGCATACAAATAACATGCCTTCTGTTGAATTCATTTTTCTTGTCTTTCAAAATACTAAAGAACATTTTTTACTTCTCTAAAATATAATCACAGATAGAAAAGTTATTATTAATGATATGTCAAAAAATAGCAAGTGGGGCTAGGGATGTGGCTCAAGCGGTAGTGCGCTCGCCTGGCATGCGTGCGGTCCCGGTTCCATCCTCAGCACCACATACAAAAAAAAAAAACAAAGATGTTGTACCCGCCGATAACTAAAAAACAATAAATATTAAAATTCTCTCTCTCTCTACCTCTCTCTCTCTCTCTCTCTAAAAAAAGCAAGTGGTATACAAACACACACAAGGTAGATAATTCCAAATATATATCTACCCAACATTGAATGGAGATTTGACTAGAAACTATTTTTCTTATTTTATTTTCAGCACAATTTCCAGATTCAGAGTATGTCTCCTGTGCCTAGAAGAGTGCCTGGTACCCACAAAATGACTTTTTGAATAAATAAATGAAGGCATGTATTTAAATCATGTCATTAAATGCTAAATGTCATGGCAAAAACTAGATGTATCCCAGGAACCTAGATAATGTAACAAAACAGAAATAACAGTGAACTCAGGGTTAGAAAGATTTTATCTGTGGTTTTTCTAGTTACATACTTTGAGCAAGACACTTAAACTGAGTTGTAAATCAGTTATTTTCTGATTTAAATATTTAAAAATTATTTAAAAAAATTTATTTCTAAAGTTTTTTTGTTCTAATTAGTTATATGTGACAGCATAATGCATTTCAATTCTACACAAATGGAGCACAACTTCTTATTTCTTTTCCAAAAATATATCCACTATGCAGTCACACTGTTTATGCAATCATACATGTACATAGGGTAATAATGTCTGTCTCATTCCACCATCCTTCGCATCCCCACCATTTCCCCTCTCTTCAGCCCAATCCAAAGTGCCTCCATTCTTAGCCAGCCGCTCCACCCCCCAATATGGATCACTATCCACATATCAGAGAAAACATTTGGCCTTTGTTTTTCTTGGGATTGGCTTATTTTGCTCAGAAAGATATTCTCCAACGCCATCCATTTACCTGCAAATGCAATGATTTCATTTTTGTTTAAGGCTGAGTAATATTCCATTGTGTATATATATCACATTTTCTTTATCCATTCATCGGTTGAACAGCATCTAGGTTGGTTCCATAGTTAAGCTACTGTGAATTGAGTTGCTATAGACATTGATGTGGCTGCATCACTGTAGTATGCTGATTTTAAGTCCTTTGGGTCAAATGGTTACATTCTTTTTTTTAAAAAAGAGAGTGGTGTGTGTGAGAGAGAGAGGGAGAGAGAGAATTTTTTTAATATCTATTTTTTAGTTTTCGGTGGACACAACATCTTTGTATGTAGTGCTGAGGATTGAACCCGGGCCGCACGCATGCCAGGTGAGCGCGCTACCGCTTGAGCCACATCCCCAGGCCTCTTTTTTTTTTTTTTAAATATATTTTTAGTTGTAGATGGATGCAATACCTTTATTTTATTTATTTATTTTTATATGGTGCTGAGGATTGAACCCAGTGCTTCACATGTGCTAGGCAAGCACTCTACCACTGAGCTACAACTCCAGCCATTTTTTATTTGTAAAATTAATTGATTGGGCCAGATCACTTTATCAGTAGCCTCT